TACTACTACTACTACTACTAATACTACTACTACTACTACTACTACTACTACTACTACTACTACTACTACTACTACTACTACTACTACTACTACTACTACTACTACTACTACTACTACTACTACTACTGACTACCACAACTACTACTACTACTGCTACTACTGCTACTACAACAACTACTACTACTACTACTACGACTACTACTACTACTACTACTACTACTACTACTACGACGACGACGACGACGACGACGACGACGACGACGACGACGACGACGACGACGACGACGACGACGACTACTACTACTCCTCGTCGTACTCTGACTACGACGTCTAATTTTACTTCTACGACCGACCGCGCGGAACTGTCGGCAACGCAGGGAACCGTGGGGGAGGTCGTGGAACCGTGGAGAGGCGTGGGGCCGCGAGGGGCAGGGGAGAGTTCGTGGAACAACGGGGGATTCTCTGGGAAATGGAGGGGGGGTGCGGGTGGGCCTGCCGGGGAAACCAGAGGGTGGGGAGGGGCGCTGAGAACTGTGTGGAATCGCTCGGCAGCGCTGGGGCCCGCGGGGGCCCGTGGGCAGTCGCGTGAGCCAGTGAAGGAACGGGAAGCGCGAGGATGCGGGCCACGCACGGCGTCCTCGCGCATCCTTTCTACTGAATTGCGCACAGCGTCGCGCACCTGGGGGCGTCGCCTAAGGATGCGGGCCAGGTAGGGCGCCCTTGCGCACCCTTTGCGCCGCATGCTGCGCAGCGTGGCGCGCTTGGGGGCGCCGCGCAAGGACGCGGGCCATGCAGGGCGCCATTGCGCATGTTTGCTGCCGCATTGCGCACGGCGTCGCGCACCTGAGGGCGCCGCTCAGGGATGCGGGCCAGACAGGGTGCCCTTGCGCATCCTGGCCGCCGCAATGCGCGCACACTGCCGCATCGTTGGAGATACGCTTGAGGATGCTGGCCATGCAGGGCGCCCTTGTGCATCTTTACCGCCCAAATGCGCGCCGCCCATCGATGCCCTTCAGGGTAGGCGCCGTGCCCGCAGGGGCGCGCGTCCTTCAACGCTATCCTTGCATCCTTGCGTTGACCTTGCTTGTGGCACACGCGCCAGTTCGGCAATGGTGGGGGTGCGTTCAGGTACCCTTGCATCCTTCGGTTTTCGACTGCGGCCCGCTCGAAAATTGCCAACGTGGCTTTCGAAGGCCCTTGCACCCTTATTGCTTATTGATCATCCTTATGATACGGGCTGGCTGTATATCAAAATAACCATTGTCCAGAACAGTCCGAGGCCACTGCTACGACAAAGTTCAAGTTCAACGTTGCGATAATCTTGAGTCCGGAACATGATCGACCCACGAACCCGGAAATGACTATAGAAATGAAACGCATGGCAACGTTTTCAAAAACACTTGATTGGGTGACGGGCAAATGCAATGTTGAGTGTATCGATTTTGAGGTACCCTGCCGAGGGCTGTGCTGTGCTGCACCGTGCTGAATTGCGATGTGCCATGACGCGATTGTGCTCTATAGCGTTGTGGATCGAGTCCTCCTTTGCATCCGAGTCCTGACCGAACTGGTCTGGGTCTTAAGCTCGAGCTGCCTGAACACATAGTAGCTGCCCCAGGGCTAATTGACAAGGGGACATGCCAGGAGGACGCGCCGCGGAACGTCCTAAGGGACGCGCCAGGCGACGTGCCAGGGAACGTGCCACGGGGACACATCTTCACGTGAGACGTCCGCCTGAGCGACCTGGACACGTGAAAACAAGCGTTTCGCTCGAGACATTTTCAACACCTCATTCTAGACATCCGCCTGAGCGACCTGCACACGTGAAAGCAAAGGTCTCGCTCGAGACATCTTCAACTCATCTTCATGGTAGACATCCGCCTGGGCGACCTGGACACGTGAAAGCAAGCGTATCTCTCGAGACATGTTCAACACATCCTCATGCAAGGCATCCGCCTGGGCAACCTGGACACGTGCAAACAAGCATCTCGATCGAGACTTCCTCAACACATCCTCATGCTAGACATACGCCTGGGCGACGAGGACGCGTGAAACGAAGCGTCTCGCTCGAGGCATCCTCAACAAATCCTGGCGCTAGACCTCTGCCTGGGCAACGTGGAGGCGTAAAACCAAGCGTCTCGCTCCAGATATCCTCAAGACCTGGGCACGTTAAAAACAAGCATTTCACTTGAGAGATCCTCTGAATTCTGGTCCCCCGGAGAGGACACTCTATAACACAAGACAAGCGTTTCGCTCGAGACATCCTCAACAAGTTCTGAAAAACAAGCGTTTCGTTCGAGACCTCCTCAAACATAATTCCGCCGTCTCTGCACGACCTCGTTATTTATCGTAAATAATTCCGCCGGCCCTACAGCCGTCGAAACAGAGGGTAAACCTACTAAAAGAGAACCTTAGGCCCCGAGTCATCCTTTGCATCCGAGTCCTGACCGAACTGATCTGGATCTTAAGCTCGAGCTGCCTGAACACATAGTAGCTGCCCCAGAGCTAATTGACAGGGGGACATGCCAGGAGGACGTCCTAAGGGACGCGCCAGGCGACGTGCCAGGGGACGTGCCATGGGGACGCACCGCGGGACGTGCCAAGGTGACGCGCTAGGGAACGTGCTGGGGACAAGCGTTTCGCTCGAGACATCCTGTCGAATTCATCATGCTAGACATCCGCCTGAGCGACCTGGACACGTGAAAACAAGCGTTTCGCACAGCACATCCTCAACACATTCTCATGCTAGACATCCGCCTGGGCGAACTTGACACGTGAAAACAAGTGGTTCGCTCGAGACATCCTCAACACATCTTCATGTAACACGTTGGCCTGGGTGACCTGGGCCCGTGTAGGGAACCACATGCGAACAAGCATCTCGATCGAGACTTCCCCAACCCATCCTCATGCTAGACATCCGCCTGGGCGACGAGGACGCGTGAAACGAAGCGTCTCGCTCGAGGCATCCTCAACAAATCCTGGCGCTAGACCTTTGCCTAGGCAACCTGGAGGCGTGAACCCAAGCGTCTCGCTCGAGACATCCTCAAGACCTGGGCACGTGAAAACAAGCATTTCACTTGAGAGATCCTCTGACTTCTGGTCCCCAGGAGAGGACAATCTATAACACAGACCAAGCGTTTCGCTCGAGACATCCTCAACACTTATTCCGCCGGCCCTACACGACTTCGTTATTTATCGCAAATAATTCCGCTGGCCCTACAGCCGTCAAATCCAGGGCTAAACTACTAAAAGAGAACCCTGGGCCCACGCCCTTTCCGGGAAAAAGGTTGAAATAATGTTTGGGGGCGAAGAAGTTCAGAACATTTGGAGCGCGTTTGAATTTGTCCAGAATTCCCAACTGGGTTTCGAAGTGTTTACAAACTCCTATCTAACACTTTCCGAACTTGTCCCACAACTTCCAATGTTTTGAACTTGGGGTTCAAACTGTGCTCGCATGGTTTGAAACTTGTCCAAAATCGATCAACACGTTTCAACTTTTTCCAGAAGTATCCTTGGACTTCTGAGTATTGTTGAACTATTGCTTTCCTTGGTTTCCGAATTCGAACTTATACGTGTTCCTCCGCCCGAGCCCCAGTCCTAATTTTATTTAGTTTCCAGGAGTAGCCTCCTTTGTTCCCCTCAGCCCATTAGTCACACTTTACTCGATACTCGTCGCTCGTCCCTCCTCCTCCCCATCCCTCGTCTTCTTCTCCCTCCTCCCTTTCCTGGTCCTCGCAGTCTGCGGACATGGCGGTCCTGGTGGCTCCACGGGGGCTTCCTGCAGTGCGCCTGTCCATAGTCCCCGTTGCAGTCCCCGGCCGGCCTCCGGCCTGAAGGCGTAGCAAGAGCCTCCGCTTCCTGTCTTCCTCCTTGTCCTCCTCGTCCTCCTCTCGCTCCTATTCCTCCTCGTTCTCCTCCTCTTACTCCTCCCGACTACGGAGCACGGAGCTAGAAGACTCCCAAGCAGACGATCGTCTGCTGAGACGTTTCCTGTTTTTCATTGCTAGAGTTCTCCCAAGATGGCCAGCCTTAGCCCCGAAAGCGGGGAAGAAAGGACTGAGCAAGCCAGAGCAGTGCCTGAATCTTCATCGGGGCCGCTTCGTCCCATTCCGCCTGGGGCCTTAGGGCCGTACCTCACCCCCTCCGAGGTCTCCCTCGTCGGGCTCGCCCCCCTCGGTCTCTGGCGTACCCCGCAACTGGGAGTACGTCAACGGCTCACGCTTCTGCAAAGTCAGTAGATTCAGGGCTAAGAATCAAGCCAAGTACTTCAAACAACGCAATGAGGTGCACCGTGGGCGTTGCAAAGGAATGGCCTCCCTCGCCCAAAATGCCCGCGGACACCAGCTGTTGTGTTTGGAGTGCCTTACCAATTCGAGTACTATGATTTTGTGTCGCAGGTGTGGTGCCTACACAGAGATTGGTTTCCGAGGCCGCATATTTTGAATACCCTATGGAGACCCATTGTAACAATGCGAGTGGTCAGATTTGCAGTGGCCGCCACTCTTTCATAATGGGTTTGCTGCAAAGGCCCCCTGGGGGCCGCGCGGATGTCACGATCGGCAGCATAGTGCTGCTGCCTCAGCGTGGGTGGGCCGACGACGCCACGAACCTCCGAAGCCGAGCGTTGGCCCTCTCGCTCCACCTCCTCGTCCTCCTCCTCCCTCCTCATCCACCTCCTCCTCCTCATCCTCCTCCCTCCTCATCCTCCTCCTCCCTCCTCATCCACCTCCTCCTCATCCTCACTCCACCTCCTCGTCCTCCTCCTCCCTCCTCATCCACCTTTTCCTCCTCCTCCTCCTCCTCCTCCTCCTCCTCCTCCTCCTCCTCCTCCTCCTCCCTCCTCACTCCACCTCGTCCTCCCTCCTCACTCCACCTCCTCCTCCTCCTCCCTCATCTGCCGCGAGCTCTCGCTGCCGCCGCCTTGTAGCCCACAGGAGCTGCCACTGCCGGGGAGGTGCGCCCCTCCGAGGCGAGGCGAGCGCGCGCCACCCCCGCCCGCCCAGGCCAGCGCGCCCGAGTTCCGGCCGCAGGCTGGGCGCACCGGCGGCCCTTCGGCGGCCGTTCGGCGGCCCCTCGGCGGCCCCTCTCGGGCCGGACGAAAGGGGGGGAACCCACGCACCCGGAAAGGAATATAGAAATGTAACGCATGGCAACGTTTTCAAAGACACCTGATTGGGTGACGGGCAAGTGCAATGCTGATTGTATCGATCTTGATGTACCGTGCCGAAGTCTGTGCTGTGCTGCACTGTGCTGAATTGCGATGTGCCATGCCGCGGTTGTGCTCTATAGCGTCGTGGATCGAGTCTTCCTTTGCATCCGAGTCCTGACAGAACTGATCTGGATCTTAAGCTCGAGCTGCCTGAACACATAGTAGCTGCCCCAGATCTAATTGACAGGGGGACATGCCAGGAGGACGCGCCGCGAAAAGTCCCAAGGGACGCGCCAGGCGACGTGCCAGGGGACGTGCCATGGGGTCGCACCGTAGGACGTGCCAAGGGGACGCGCTACGGAACGTGCCAATGGATGTGCCACGGAATGTGCCAGGGGACGCGCCACGCGACGTGCCAGGGGGACTCGCCAAGGGACGCCCGACGGAACGTGCCAAGGAACGTGCCAGGTTGCAATGCTGATTGTATCGATCTTGATGTACCGTGCCGAAGTCCGTGCTGTGCTGCACCGTGCTGAACTGCGATGTGCCATGCCGCGGTGGTGCTCTATAGCGTCGTGGATCGAGTCTTCCTTTGCATCCGAGTCCTGACCGAACTGATCTGGATCTTAAGCTAGAGCTGCCTGAACACATAGCATCTGCTGCAGAGCTAATTGACAGGGGGACATGCCCGTGCCAGGGGACGTGCCATGGGGACGCACCGCGGGACGTGTCAAGGGGACGCGCTACGGAACGTGCTGGGGACAAGCGTTTCGCTCGAGACATCCTGTCAAAATCCTCATTCTAGACATCCGCCTGAGCGACCTGGACACGTGAAAAAAACGTTTCGCTCAACACATCCTCAACACATCTTCATGTTAGACATCCGCCTGGGCGAACTGGACACGTGAAAACAAGTAGTTTGCTCGAGACATCCTCAGCACATCTTCATGTGAGACGTCCGCCTGGGTGACTTGGGCACGTGAAAACAAACGTTTCGCTGGAGACGTTTTCAACACCTCCTCATTCTAGACATCCGCCTTGGCGACCTGTACACGTGAAAGCAAACGTCTCGCTCGAGACATCCTCAACACATCTTCATGTTAGACATCCGCCTGGGCGACCTGGACACGTGAAAACAAACGTATCTCTCGAGACATTCTCAACACATCCTCATGCTAGGCATCCGCCTGGGCAACCTGGACACGTGCAAACAAGCATCTCGATCGAGACTTCCTCAACACCTCCTAATTCTAGACATCCGCCTGGGCGACGAGGGCGCGTGAAACCAAGCGTCTCGCTCGAGACATCCTCAACAAATCCTGGCGCTTGACCTCTGCCTGGGAAACCTGGAGGCGTGAAACCAAGCGTCTCGCTCGAAACATCCTCAAAACCTGGGCACGTGAAACCAAGCGTTTCATTTGAGAGATCCTCTAAATTCTGGTCCCCAGGAAAGGATTAGACAGTGCTCGCACCCTTTAGCCTTCACGAGAGTGCCTCTGCAGCCTTTTTTCTCGAGTCCTTCCATCCAGCGGATGGTTCACGAGATCCTGTCCTTGGCCGCCAGCTTCGCCCATCAGCTGGCCGCCTCAGCCCCGCCGCCCTGCCCGGCCTGCCGCTGCGAGCCACGGCTCACCTGTGTGGCCTGCCCGGAGCCGGCGGCGGCGCCGGCTTGCCCCGCGGTCATCTGCGACTGCAGGGGCGCGGAGTGCCCGGCGTGCGAGGCCAGGCTGCAACGGCCGGGGCTTGCGCTCTCGGCCACTTTGGGCAGCGGGCTCGCGGCCTTCGCGGGCTTCGCCGCCGGCGCTGCCTGGACGCGGAGGTGCCTGATCAGCACCTTGCAGCCGGGGCCTCGCCCCGGCCTCGCGGCGCTGGAGGAGGCGCCTGCCAGCCGCGGCTCCCGAGCCGGGGCTCCAGCCGGGGCGCCGCGCTCGCCGCGCTCGTCTGCCTCGTCGGGCTGGGGCGCGGACTCTGGGCTGGAGGCGTCTGCGTGGAGGTCGCGCCGCCGCTAGGCGTGCTCCTGAGGAGAGATGGCGGCGGCGGCAGCGGCGCGGCTGTCGCTGGACATTCCAGAGCCGCAGGCTGGCGATCAACTTCGACGACGGTCCCAACTTCCGCTGGCACGTGAGAGCGCTACGAGTGCGCCTGGCGGATGGCCGTTGAGTCGGCTGGACGCCGGACCTGGACGTGATCGTGGTGAACCTCGCCGACCACATCGTGGCGCCGATCCCGAGGCGGGCTCCAGGACCGGCACGGGTGCGAGGGAACCTGTGCGCCGCCGACGCGCTGACGGAGGACGAGCTCGCCACAGTGAGGCTGGAGGCGGACGCGCTGGGCAACGTGTTGGGCGCCGCGCCAGCCGGGCTCGGGGCCGCGCCGACCGCTGGGGCGCTGGCGGCGAAGCGGCGCTTCGCCGACACGGCGTGCGAGAAGTTCGGGGAGACCGTGCCGCCTGACATCGCCAGGAACCCGCTGCGGCTCCAAGCGAGAGGGGCCGCCGGTCTGGTGGAGGTCGAGGAGGGTGGCGAGTCCTTCTGGACCTTCGTGGAGAAGGTCGGCGACCCGGACTTGGACGAGTGGCGGGAGGAGAAGAGGTCGGGGCCTGGCCGAGACCCCCTGGGGCTTTCGATCCACCGCGAGCTGGGCCGAGCGAGGTGCCTCTCGATGCGCGAGGGGCTGGCGCTCATGCAGTTCTTCGAGACGGGCAAGGCGCTGGCCGACTGGCCGTTCCCGGCGCCCGCGCCTTCGGCGATCCGCGAGGTGCTGCTGGCGGCCAGGGCGGCCAAGGAGGAGCTCGCCGGGTTCCACGACTTCTGGGCGCGCGCGTCGGGGGTCAACCCGGACTCCCCGGTGGCGCTGAAGCACAGGGACCTGATTGCGGTTCTCCGCCGCATGCTGAGCTTCGACCAGCTGAACCTGGGCCAGCTCTCGTCGGCGGAGATGCTCGGTCGTCTCATCTCCCAGATACATCAGGCGACGAAGCGCAACCCCAAGAACCCGGACTTCCGCGGGACCGACCTGATGGCGATGTCGACCATGGACTCGTCCGGCGGCGCGCTGTCCAGGGAGTTCGCCCGCTGGACGGCGGAGGAGTCCAGCAGCACCGCGACCATCCGACGACCGAGTTCAGCAGCTCCAGGGCGACTGCGGCAGCATCAACATCAACCCCGTCAGCACAACGACCAACCCGCCCCACAGGGGCCCCACGACCAATTACTGCTGCCCTTGGACCGTCGACTGCAGCAGTAGACCGACACCAGCAGCTCCACGACCGACTCCAGCAGCTCCACGACCAACCAGCGACCGACTCTGGCACCACCAGAGCCACCAACCAGCAGCACCACAACCAACCAACAATCGACGCCAGCGACCAGGCAGCAGCACAGCGGCCATCTTCAGAAGCACTGCGACCAGCGCCAGCAGCGCGGCAGCGTGACGACCAACTACAGCAGCATCACGGCCGCTCGTTGACCGACCCTGGCGTCAACAATGGCACCCTGCCACAATACGTCGTGATGAAGATTGCTGTTGCTGTCGGTGTCCGCCCGCAGGGCTCCCTGGCGTGCGCCTGCTGGTGGCTTGCCAGAACCGCGGGACACCTGAAGGACGACGACCAACCTGCGACTGCCCCCAGCGCTCCCAGAGCGACCCACCAGCAGCACTCCGACCAACCAGCGACCGACCCCAGCGACCAAACGGCAGCACAGCGACCTACGTCAGAGGCACAACGAGCAGCTCCAACAGCACCGCGGCCAACTCCAGCAGCACCTGGGCCGACACCAGCAGCACCTAGACCGACGCCGGCATCATTGCGACCAACTCCAGCAGCGCCGCGATCAACTAGCGACCGACCACAGCGCCGCCATAGCGAGCAACCAGCAGCACCGCGACCCACCTGCGACCGACCCCAGCGCTTCCGGAGTGAGCAACCAGCAGCACCGCGACCGACCAGCGACCGACCCCAGCGACCGCCCAACAACGCCACGACCGACTCCAGCAACGCCGCGGCCAGCTCCAGTAACACCACGACCGACTCCTGCAGCACCTCGGCCAACACCACCAGCAGACCTAGACCAGCACCAGCAGCACCACGACCGACCCCAGCAGCTCCACGACCAACCAGCGACCGATTCCAGCACCACCAGAGACACCAACCAGCAGCACCACGACCAACCGGCAACCGACGCCAGCGACCAGGCAGCAGCCCAGCGGCCAATTCTTGCAGCACTGCACTCAACTCCAGAAGCGACCTGGCCGACGCCAGCAGTCCTAGACCGACTCCAGCAGCACCGCGACCAACTGGCGACCGACCCTAGCACCATCAGAGCGAGCAACCAGGAGCACTGCGACCACCACGCAGCCGACCCCAGCAACCAAGCAGCTGCACTACGACCAACCCCAGCACGTGGTCACCAGACGATGGGCGCGAACAGCGGCCAGACTCCGGCGAACGAGGAGGCCCCGCTCCGGGAGTGGAGGGACGGACGGTCGGCTCGACACGTGGGGCGGCTGCTTATCGGACGCGGGCGGCCTCGAGGCCCCAGGGGGCACTCTTACTTGAGCCTGCTTCGCGAGGGGATCCGTGCTCCCCCGCGGGATGCCGTGCGTGCGACAGCCCAGGAGACTCGAGATCATCGAGCCCTACCTGATGCCGGACCAGCATCGCAGCGACACGATGACGAACCACGTTAGCAGCCTGAATGAGATCGCGAGCGTGGCCATCGAGCTCGGCGTCGAGCAGTTCGACATCATCACGAAGCCCTCGTGCTTGGAGGACGACAACATGGGTGGGATCTAGAGCAGCGGCCCCGGGGGATCGGCGTCGCCATGCAAACGACTGGCAGCCAGGAGGTACATCGCAGGTATTGGACAGTCGACTTCGAC